GAAGAGGTGGGAGGATTTATCCCGGGCCCGAGGCAAATGAGACGGGAGGGTTTGGGGGAGACTGCTGTGTGCCAGCTGGGCTGTGATTCCCTCCTCTCTCGTAGTGGATCCATCCCGCAATCCTGAGTGGTCCTTCCCCTCTTGGTCCTGCGGAGGAGTTGGGGCTCAGAGGTCTGCCTGTGTACGGAGCCCCCGTGCCCCCCGAGGCTGGGGGGGCACCCCCTGCCCTGGAGGAGCCCAGAGCTGAGTGTGTCCCCCGCCCCGCCCTGTCTTGCAGCCGTGTAGTCGATCTGACCCCCTTGGTCCTCAATCCTGGAGGCTTCCACTTCTTGTACTTGGCCAGGAACAATGTGCACAAGCTCCACTGCCCTGGCTTCCCCTGGTAAGTGTGCCCCCGAACCATCTGGCGTCTGAGCAGCGTGCATGAGGGCTGGAAGGATATTCAGTGTGATGGTCGCTCCCACTTCCAGGATGGACCCTAATGTCGTCAGGGGTGCTGAAAAGTTGCTCCCCCTTCCTAGTGTTTGTGCTGGTGGGAAACCAGAAACAAACAGCCCAGAGGCCAACAGAAGGGAACGATTCAATCAGCTGTGGGCAGCCCCGTTCTTTATCTACATGTGTGTTTTGCAAAGCAGGGATTTACTGAATATGGGGGATTTTTTGTTGTTTTTTTTATTGCGGTACGCGGGCCTCTCACTGTTGTGGCCTCTCCCATTGCGGAGCACAGGCTCCGGATGCACAGGCTCAGCGGCCATAGCTCACGGGCCCAGCCGCTCCGCGGCATGTGGGATCTTCCCGGACTGGGGCACGAACCTGCGTCCCCTGTATCAGCAGGCGGACTCTCAACCACTGCGCCACCAGGGAAGCCCCTGAATATGGGTTTTTTATTACTGTTTTTGTCATGTATTTCCCACATCATTGAGTGTTTAGATTGGCTGCTTCATTGCATCAGATGACTTTTTTTTTTTAAACAGCTTTACTGAGGTATTATTCACATGGTATAATTCACCCATTTAACATATACAGTTCCTGGGACTTCCTTGGCAGTCCAGTGGTTAGGACTCCGTGCTTCCACTGCAAGGGGCCCAGGTTCCATCCCTGATTGGGGAACTAAGATCCCGCAAGCTGCACGGTGTGGCCAAAAATGATTAAATAAATAAATAAATAAATAAACACACAATCCTATGGTCTTTGGTATATTCACAGTTATGAATGCATCACCACAATTAATTTTAGCACACTTTCCTCACCCCAGAAACCCATAGCCCTCACTCTTCCACTCGCCCCTCTTCAGCACTTTCTGTCTCTATAGATTTGCTTGTTCTGGACGTTTGCTATAAATGGTATTATAAGATATGTGGTCTTTGTATCTGGCTCCTTTCAGTTGGTTAATGTTTTTGCAGTTCATCCATGTTGTAGCAGCACTCATTCTTTTTAAAATTTTCAAATAGATTTCATTTTTTAGAGTAGTTTAGGGTTTACAGTAAAACTGAGCTGAAAGTACAGAGAGTTCCATATCCCTCTGCCCTCCCCCACCCAAAGCCTCCCCCGCGATCAACATCTGCCAGAGAGTGGGACCTTTAATACAAACTGTGACCTACATTGACGTGTCATTATGTAAAGTCCGTGGTTCACATTAGGGTCACTCCTGGTGACGTACATCTTATGGTTTTGGACAAATGTATAATGACATGTGTCCACTATTACAGTGTTGTATGGAATAGTTTCCCTGCCCCGAAAGTCCTCTGCCTATTTGGCCCTCCCTCTCCCTCAGCCCTAGGCAGCCACTAACTTACTTTCTGTCGCTATAGGTTTGTCAGTTCTGGACATTTTATATAAGTGAAACCATACCATAAATTGGGCAGCTTCCTTGGCCGTGTGACAGACGTCCAGCATGTGCGGTACCCTCACTCAGCGTGTGTGTGTGCATGTGTGTGTGTCTATGTATGTGGTGGGTGGGCATAAATATGTTATCTTCCACTTCCAGAGAAAACGGGTGAAGGTCAGCATGCCTTTCTTGCACCTGCTGTGCGGCTTGAGGGGTCTTAGTTCCCTGACCAGGGATTGAGCCTGGGCCCTTGGCAGTGAGATGTGGGGTCCTAACCACTGGACCGCCAGGGAATTCCCTAGCATCACTATCTTTATGTGCTAAGCTGTCCCTGAATCTCAAGATGAATATCCAGAAGTGAAATTACAAGGGAAAGGGTAGGAACAGTTTTTAAAAGCACTACCATTTTTCAGTTTATGAAACAGGATCTAGTTACTGTAGACAGTTTGAAAACTACCCAAAAAAGACACCAATCACTCTCACTCCCAAGGTCAGAAATAACCACTGTTGGCACATATCCCTGTTTTGCTGTAGGTGTTCCCCATGGACACGAGTGTACGTGCACAGGTAGTAGTTTGTCACGTAATCAGGAGCGTCCTGTGAGCAGCTTTGCAGCCAGTTCTGGAACATGTTGCTTCCCTGTCATTAAAAATACCTAGAAATTCACCAGTAATCATAGATGCAGAATACCCACCCCATTGTGTGGACGGAGCATCATTTACTCAACTACCCTTGCTTGTTGAAATATTTCATTAATGGGGACAATTTTTAGCCTCCTGTTATGTATTGCTTTCTGAGTGAGCTGTGCTGTCTTGGCACTATCCCCCAAAATGGGTTATTTTAAATTGTTTTCTAAAAGTTTACAAAAGTATAACATACTCTATGGAAAAAAGGTCACAATATAGAAATGAATACATGAAATATGAGTCCCAATACATTGGTTAATTTTTTAAATCAAATCAGGATCATACTGCACGTACTTCTCAGCCACTTGTTCTTTCCATTACTGTACCATTGGGGTGTCTTTACTTGCTGGGATGTACAGACCAACTTTGTTCCTTAAACAGCTGTGGAATAGTCCACTGCATGCCTGTACCATGGCTTTTTTAGCTGTTCCCTGATGGACGTTTGGATTGTCTCCAGGTTTACACAATCACAAACATTGCTGCAATGAACAGCCTTGAGCAAACATCCATGGGAGGGATTTCCAGCAGCAGTAATGTATCGAGAGCCATCCCACAGCCTGGGTTTTGTCGTGTGTTCCTCTGATGGACCTGTGTGCCGTGTCCCCCTCATGGACCCATGTCTTGTGTGTTTCCTGAACAGGCCTTCAGCCTGTAGTGGTTCTGCCAGCACCGAGGAGATGCTATCCCCATCTGTGAAGGCCTCCATCTTCACCCCGCCTGTGCTGCTCAAGTTCCAGCCTGTGCCCAGACCTAAAGATGAATCAGAGAATGACCCTGGCAGCACAGAGTCCACGCCGCACCAGAGGGACCCATAACCTCTTCTGTACAGACCACAGCAGGAGAACGAATAAAGTTCCCTTGGTGTTGCCTTCCTCGTGCCATGCTACCCAGCGGCCGTGCAGTCCCACGGGCTCTCTGCAACCCCAAGAGGTGGTCAGGGTAGCGCAAGCCTGAGGCTCTTTGGCCTGAGACTGCACATAGTAGGTGGTCAGGTCATTGAAGTCCCCTCACTTGCATCTAACTTGGGAACTCAGTCCTGTGCACTTTGAAAGAG